AACATAATTAAAGTTATCATGCCCTCGCCTGGCAGCAGCAATAGACTGTTTTTGTGCAAAGTGCTGTCTGAATTTGTCGAGCAGTCCAGCTAAGACCTCCTATCTGATATAAGCGACCTCGCCCGAAACTTCCGAGTTATGTTGCATGCACAGCAAAAGCATCGAAGCAGAACACAGATAATGTCAAAACTGCGTAAAAATCTTACTTGACCTTTCTTACCGCAATACGATGATTTAGCAGGCCAGTTATCGTTCTGGCCAGCATGGAGGAAATAAATCCACGATAGTCAGAAGGCCAAATTTCCTGGATAAGCTAATGAATAAAGGAAAAAAATTCCAGCAAGCAACGATGTTTACGCCTAACCACATATTCAATGTAATCGTCCTAACAGCGTCTTTTTAATCATTGCAATCATCCAACAGCACCGATTTCGGATGTTTGTGATACTGCAAAATATCCTCGAACAAGCCCATGCATTTCTCCGCAACTGCTGCTTTAACAGTTTCCGCATCTTCTCCAGAACTGTCCACTTTCTGCTTGATATAAGACTCGATTACAAGGCCGAGGAACGATAACAGAATTACTGCTATGGACGGAAATATCCGAATATAGCTTTTTTTGAGCTGAAAAAATTATTGTTACAGTTTCTCACCTCTCCCTCCAATTCAGTTTTACTTTTGTCTCTTTCTTGCACCGTATTCTACACCTTTTATGCGTATTGGACGAGCAGCGCTAGAGCGCTGCAACAGGTAGCAAAAACGTATATTGCAACGACCAGTGTGTGTGTGTTCATCTGTCCGGGTATTTCAACTCGCCAACTACGCAAGCTTTGAAGCTGAAATTTTACTAGTATGTTCCCCAGCCAAGTGCCACTCAGGACCGCGGTATCAACTCGCACGCACGTCTGAGCCTCGCGTACGGGCACGTGAAAATTATGGCGTGAAAATTCATAACTCGGAAACGAGAAAAGCTAGGAAGTTGAAATTTTGGGGGAATGTTCCCTACTTACGCACGACCGAAAATTTTCGAACTCGTCTCCTTAGGGTCGCCCGGGGTTCACGTACGGGCACGTAAAAATTCTGGCGCGAAAATTATTAACCCGGGAACGAGAAAAGCTAGAAAGCGAAACCACAGGGAAATGTCCCCTACTTGTGTTTAACAAAAAGATTTCAAATTCAGCTGCCCAGGGCTGCCCGAGATTAACGTACGGGCACGTGAAAATTATGGCGGGAAAATTCATAACTCGGAAACAAGAAAAGTTAGAAAGTTGAAATTTTGGGGCAATGTTCCCTACTTACGTACGACCAAAAATTTTCAAACTTAGCTTCCTAGGATCGCTCGGGGCTCACGTACGGGCACGTGAAAGTTTTGGTGCACTACCCCGGGAAAAATTACTAAATTGCTATCCCGGGAAAAGCTAGGAAGCTGAAACTTTCGAGGAATGTTTCCTACTCATGTACAACCAAAATCAGGTGTTTGGAGGCATCCGGAGCGCAAGTATGAGAGCGTGGAAAATTTGGCGCAAAAATTACCAACCCGGGAACGAAAAAAGCTAGAAAGCTAAAACTTTAGGATAGTGTTTCCTACTCATGCATGACCAAAAGATTTCAAATTCAACTCTTTAAGACCGTCTGGTACTCACGTACGGGCACGTGAAAGTTTTGATGGGAAAGCTGCCAACTCGGGAACGGGAAAAGCTGAAGGCTTTTGAAATTTGAAATGTTCTCTACTCATGTGCGATTAAAAAATTTCAAATTTAACTCTTCTAATGCGGCCTGTTTTGCGGACCAGCAACTTTCCATTTGTCGGGTTACTGAAGCGACATCCACAGCTGGCATACCACATAGCTGCACAATTAACTTCCCGAACTTCCAGAGCCAGTATGTCAAAAGGTTAGCTACAGTGATTCCTTGCGAACTTGCTACGGCACAAAAAGTGCAAAAACGCATAATCGCACCAGCCCGCCTGGTGCGTTCCAGCCTGGGTTTTACTTGTGCTAATCTAGATAAATTACAGGACCGAGGAACGATAACAGAATTATTGCTATGGGCGGAAATATCGGAATACAGCTTTTTTTTGAGCTGCAAAAGCTGTTGTTACAGTTTCTCACCTCTTCCTCCTCCTCTTCCCTCTCAACATTACTTTCGTCTCTTTCTTGTACGATATCCAACGGTTTTTTTTTACACACGCTAATAAAAAGAAAATTTCTGGCTCACGAGCTTTAGTCTCGGGCTATAAATGCCTGTATTCATTTACAGCCCGAGACTAAAGCTCTAGAAACTTTCCAATGCCATGCTGTAGGCCTGATATGTGCTTTTGAAATTTCTCGTGCCCATAGGCGGATCCAGGACGTGCTCCTGGAAGGGAGTGGGCTTCGAGTAGGGAAGGAGGAATGGGGTTACTGATTCGGCAGCGAGCAGGG